CTTTATCTGAGTGTTGTTATGGTTTCTGGAAGTCCTGAACGCTGTCTTACCTTATGGGGTTAAACAATTTACTTATGGTTTAACCACAAAGTAGTCCTGATGGTGCCTGTCCTTCAGGCCCCTCTTCCTTCTCTTCTATTGAGAAAAATGCATGATAAAGGTACAAATACCTTGTGTGTGTTTCTCAATTGGAAGCCAGTGATCAGCTCAGAGTGTCAGTTGATGCCCTCAGCCCATCACTAGTGTCCAATCCAAGTATTCTACATTGAAGGTGGAGATAGAGGAAGAGCGGCTGTGTGGGCAAACGTCATCTGGATAATGTTGGGGTTCATAAGCTGTTTAACCCCTCAAATTTATATGCTGTCGAGGACTTCTAGACACCATAAAAACATAATTGGGATAAAGTTGTGACGGTTCCCAGAATGTTCCTTTAGACTTTTTTTTTTATTATTTATTTTTTTTTTTCTTCCTAGTAATAAATAGCATTGTGTCACTAAAGATGTTTGTAGAGAATTTGGGAGCAGCTAGCATTGTGTTTAACATTTGTTAAATGACATATTTATATGCACTTTTTGTGTTGCATTTTGATTACTGACAAAGGAGAGTAGCATGTCTGCAATTATGTAATTTGGTTTGAAAGCAGTACAAAAGGTTTTTGCAAGTAAAGGAAAGACCTTTTAACCAGTTGACATATTGTGTTATAGGTGAAAGGTAGCCTGCATGCTTACGCATAACTAGGTGAAAGTACATTGACTGATACAGTTAAACTTACATAGATCTTTAGTGATTTGAGACATTTTAACACCAATGAGCATTGCCTCTTTTTACTAATGGATACACTACCCATACCTTAAAGAAACACTCCCACCCCATAACAATTTAATCTCAGAAGTTATGGGGCCTGGAGTGCCTGGGTGCTGTCTTTCCTTCAAGGGCTCCCCTGGCACCTGACAGCTATTTATATTCCTTCATCCAGTACTCCAGCTCAGTTTACCTATCACTGGTCTCTTATTGTAGTAATAGTATATAATAATTTTTAGCTTTGCTATTTTGATCAAGATTTTACATTACTGACAAAATTCTGAAATATTGCACCATTATATGCTTTGTGTTTTTTTTTGTTTGTTTTTTTAAATTACTTTGATTTTACATAAGTTAACACAGTTTTCTAACCTTTTTATATTTGAATCTCTTTCCAGGGGTAAAAGTGTCAAGAAACCTGTACAGAACAATGAGGTAATTGGATCATGTGTAACTAAAATATAAGACGTGATATTTTTTTTTATAGTGTGTGAACCTGGTGGTATAAACTAGAGATAGCTGACATAGGCACATCTCTGAAACCCAGACACGTGACGTGTTAAAGGGTCACTATAAGGGTCACTTTAAAAGGGTGTAGTTGTTCTGGTGTCTACTGCCTGTCATTGCAGGCTTTTTTAATTCAGAGAAAAGGCATTGTTTACAATGCTGCCTAAGGACTCCTCCAGTGGCAGTCATTCAGACAGCCACTAGAGGTGCTTGCTGGGCCAATGCTGCACACGTTCGGCGTCTCCACGCTCTTATTTCAATGCATCTCTGACAACTTGTTGATTGCAGCCGTAGCCTCCATAGTAAAGGATTGGATTGGTCAAAATCAATTGATCTCAGGCAAGGAAGCGGAGCCAACTGCAGAAGCAGCACTGGAAAAAAGTTGAATTTGACGTCTTTTTATCGGGATGCAACAGGGGCCATGGACCTAAATGGCGCTATTAGTTTACATGTTTGTATTCCTGACTATAGTGTTCCTTTAAATAATGGAGATAAACTGAATATTAAATGACTTGGGAAGTGACGGTTCCCTTTTATGTATTTAAACTAGGGGGGGCAAAAAGGTGATAAAACATCAATCAAATTGTCCCCCAATACAAGGACAGAAGGTGCCTGTAGCAAGTGTGTTAAATTAACAAATGCTCGTAGTTTAGGGAATAAGATCCATGAACTTGTGGCAATAATGGCGACTGATAATGTAGATTTAGTCGCTATTACTGAGACATGGTATAATGAGAAAAATGACTGGGACATAGCAATACCAGGGTACTCTTTATATAGAAAAGACAGGGAAGGCAAGAAAGGTGGAGGGGTGGCCCTGTATGTGAAGGATAGCATAAAATCTAGCCTAATGAAAGTTAGTGAGGTGAATATAGAGTCAGTTTGGGTTACGTTAGGATTTGGTAATCACACAGTAACTCGTGTAGGTGTTATTTATAAGCCCCCAGGACAAATAGAAGAGTTAGATAATCTAGTAGTTGAGGAAATAGCTAAAATGACAATGAAGGGGGAAGTTATCATCATGGGTGACTTTAATCTTCCTGATGTGAACTGGAAAACCAAAATAGCTGCTTGTGACAGGAGCACACATATTCTAAACTCCCTACTGGGATTGTCTCTAAAACAAGTCATTGAGGAGCCAACTCGTAAAGACGCCATACTAGATTTAGTGTTCACAAATGGAGATTTGCTATTAGATATTACTGTAGGTAAAAGTTTAGGATCCAGTGATCATTAGTCAGTGTGGTTTAATATAAGAACAGTGACTGAGTCACACCACACAAAAACAAAAGTTTTAGACTTTAGCAAAAACAGACTTTTCTAAAATTAGAATGTGTCCATCATATCATTATCAGACTGGAGCAATTTAAATGGAGTCCAAAAGAAATGGGATTATTTGAAAGTTATACTGCTGAAGGCAACAGAAAATTGCATTAGGCTTGTCAGTAAAAGCAAAAAAAAGAAACCACTGTGGTACTCCAGAAATGTGGCCAAAATAGTGTTAAAAAAGAAGTTAGCATTTAGTATGTGTGTATATTTAAAAAAAAAAAAAAGTGAGGAAGATAGACAGATCTATAAGATTAGGCATATAGAGCCTAAGCAAGGTATAAAAGCTTCCAAATCACACACACAAGAGAAAATAGCACAATTAGCAAAAAAAAAGGGACAAAACATTTTTTAGATACATAAATGAGAAAAGGAAAGTAGAGTTAGATTAAAAACAAAAGCAGGATAACATTCTAGCTGACTGCCTCAATGAACATTTTGTTCAGTATTTACAGATGAAAATGAAGGAAAGGGGCCTCAGTTAGGAATAAACAAATGACAAATGAGTCATTGGTTACATGTGAGTTTACAGAGGAAGAGGTTCTATTTCAACTGTCAAAAGGAGACAAATAAGTCAATGGAACGTTATGAAAAGAGCTTAGTGGTGTAGCAAAACCATTAACAGATTTACTTAACTAATCATTATAAACAGGAGTAGTCCCAGAAGATTGGAAGTTAGTTGTTGTGCCCATTCACAAGAAAGGTAGTAGGGAGGAGTCTGGCAACTATAGGCCATTAAGCATTACATCAGTAGTGGGGAAAGTAATGGAAACCATGTTAAAGGATAGGTTTGTTGAACATCTAAAATGACATGGATTTCAAGATCAGAGACAACATGGGTTTACTTCAGGGAGATCATACCAAACTAATCTTATTGCTTTTTTTGATTGGGTAACTAAAATAATAGATCAGGTGGTGCAGTAGACATTGCTTACCTAGATTTCAGTAAGGCTTTTGACACTGTTGCAAATAGAAGGCTTTTCAATAAACTGCAATATTTACACTTGGATTCCAATACTCTTGAATGGGTAAAGCAGTGGCTGAGTGACCGGCAACAGAGGGTTGTAATCAATGGAGTATATATAAAGCAGTGGTGTACCTCAGGGATCTGTTCTTGGACCCATTTTCTTCAATATTTTTATTAATGATATTGCAGAAGGTCTTGATTGTAAGGTACAGTATATACTCGAGTCAATGTCTGTATTATGGCAACTTACATCGCCATAATACAGACCAAGACCGCCGGGCTCATTACAAGCCCGGCGGACCTGTTTGGGGCTGGCAGTGAGCTGTAACTTACCTTTCCTGCAGCTCCTGTCAGCTCCAACGGTCAGTCTCCCGAGAGCCATGGGGACAGAGCCGTGGCAACGCTCCGCGAGACTTTCAGTGGAGCTGACAGGGGCTGCAGGAAAGGTAAGTTACAGCTCGCTGCCAGCCCCTCTCCTGCACAGTACACACCACTGTACCCCCAGGAAATGAGAGCCCCCCTGCCTGGCCATGTATCAAGCAGGGAGGGGGAAGAAAATAAATAAAAATTTAAATAATATTAATAAAAATATCAAAAAAATTAATATTAAAATAATAATAATTAAAAAAAATAATAAAAATGCCCACCCCCCACCAAGGCTCTGCATCACATACACAAACACACTCTGCATCACATACACAAACACACTCTGCATCCCATACACAGTCTGCATCCCATACACAGTCTGCATCCCATACACAGTCTGCATCCCATACACAGTCTGCATCCCATACACAGTCTGCATCCCATACACACTGACTTCATTATATACACACACTGTAAATAAATATTCAATTAATATAATTAGTATAAATATTACTCTACCAGCCAAGATTTCTAGAAATAAGGGCTTTGGACTTGTATTGTGATGTATCCCTATATCAGTCACTAGTTTGCATTTTTATCTTGTATTTCTCCTGCAATAAGCAAAATTTCAATATTTGAATTCTGAGTCGATTTATTGTTTCAACATTGCTCTTATATATTATTTAGAATTTTGAAATGTTTTAAGTAATATTTTTAATAGACTCCTAACTGATTGGAATTATTTTGTGCCAACACTTATTGATTAAAAATACCATCATGCATTTATTGCAGAAGATAAAAATATATATTTTTTGGGAAAGTCACTAGATAAAACAAGAG